GTGAGAGAGGAGTGTGTGCAGGGTGAGATTAGAGTGCAGGGTGAGAGAGGAGTGTGTGCAGGGTGAGATTAGAGTGCAGGGTGAGAGAGGAGTGTGTGCAGGGTGAGAGAGGAGTGTGTGCAGGGTGAGAGAGGAGTTGGTGCAGGGTGAGAGGGTGAGTCTCTGGTGATTTTCCCCGCCCTCTTCAGACACTGCTTCCTTGATGGCTGGGGGCGTTGCCCTGGCGATGCACTGGGCAGTTTTCACCCCCCTTTGAAATGCTTTCGGGTTGTTATGGTTTCCATGCGGTTTATGTTTTACATTTTTTATTTTATGAAATCAATCCGTCGTGGGTTATGCATCTTAGGAAGCTTGGAGCCCAGACGGTTTGTTTAAAGCATGTTTGGCCGTAGAACATAGAACGTAGAATGTAGAATGTGCTGAAGGAACATTTAAACATGTGGGGTTTGTTGGGCTGAATTTATCTGTGTTTCCCTCCCAGTTTCTGTCTTGGACTGAGTGCATTAAATAAACTCATTTCCTATTGGCTCGTCTCCATGGCTGTCTAATTAAAGCCGCTCCCCAGACGCCTCTAAGCACGGCGGGATGGTTTTCATAGTGGTGCTGATGTCACTCTCCTCGGCTCGCTCTGTCCTTCCTCTGTGGATCAAAGAGGCAGAGACCTTTTTTAGGTCTGGAGCCGTTTAGTTTGGCAGCCATAGATGATGACATCACAGACCCGCCCTGTCTTTATAACCAACAAACAGCTGGTTTCACTTTATAACACAAAAAAACAAAGTAAGTAAATAAATCCTTTAAATTTTGAAGCAGAGATAAAAAGCAGAAGATGGATCAGGACTCAGCAGATCAAGATTCTGGTGAATTAGTTTTCAAACCCCTTGATTTTGTTCCACTTTATCACATCTCAGTGTTTTTAACTGGTGGGGTAATGATGGAGGTCTGACGGCTCAGTGAGGCCTTCTGTCAGCGTGCCCCAGGCCAGCATCAGTGAGGGTGGATGGACTGAACCAGAACCAGAACCAGAACCAGACCGCTCCTCCTAAAGCCTCTGCAGCGCTCTGCTTTAGGCGGAGAAGTCGTTGGAACCTCCGCCCCCCCCTCCTATGGAGGAGAACCCCCGCCCCAGGCTACCGGTCGCCGCCTTCAGCGCCATGTTGAAGAGGCAGGTCTGCATCCAGAGCTGCCGGGCACTCAGACCCAGAGCGCACCCTCTGCTCTTCCACCATGGAAGGCGTGGCAGGGATGGAGGAGACGTCCTCCTTCAGGGTCAGCATCTCCCCACTGCCATGGAACCTGTGAGCAAAGCGCTGCTTCCGGTTTAGGAAGAGCCGGATGGTTTTCCAGAATCAGCAGTTCTGACCCTGATCCAACGTGTCGGTCTCAGCTGGGTGTGTGATGCTCTGTGATGTCATGGCTGCTCTCTGGTTCTGGGAGCATCAGCCAGCTCTGATTGGCTGGTTCAGTCTGCAGCCTCATTGGACAGGCTGTCCACCAATGGTAGCCTTCCTCACGGAGCAACTGCCCAAAGCGATAAAAGTTTGATTTCAGGAAGGGGTCAAAAGAGGTCATTTATTTTCTGTTTTTCTCTTACTGCACTGATTGGATGATAAATTTATTCTTTTGTTCAAATTATAAAGATTGAACTGATGCTTCTGGTTCTATTTTCTTTATCTAAATGTCTGATATGTTTAAAATGTTGCTCTGGAACCTGCAGAGTTATGCTGCTTAGATGAACCCTGAATCAAAGGGAAACATTTTTACATGGAGTGGCTTCCGACGGTGCTGACCAATACTCTCTATCCAGTTTATGTCTATGTTAGCTTAGCTTAGCTTAGCCAGTGTCATTCTAGTGTGACAGTAACAGCCAACCTTGTCCCTGTCTCTGTGTCTCCTGCAGTCTTTCAGCAGCAGGCCGCCCACTCCGGTCTGCAGCAGCAGAAGGTGAAGCAGGAAGGAGGCGGACCCGTTCCTTGCCAGAACTGTGGGAAACCCTGCAAGGGAGAAGCTCTGCGCGTCCAGAACAAACACTTCCACCTGAAATGTTTCGTCTGCAAACGTACGTACCTGCAGGGCTCCACGCAAACACATCCTGTGATGCATGACAGGTGGAAGGAGCAGCAATCTCTGCTGGTTTTGGTATCATGTAGGGTTCAGGTGGAAGGAGCAGCAATCTCTGCTGGTTATGGTATCATGTAGG